CTAGCTTCTCTGTTGCAGAAATGGCTGTGCTGATGCCAGGTTTACTCGGGGGTGGGGTGGGGGTGGGATTCTGTATGCAGCATAAAGTAAGGGCAGATTTTTGAGGGTGGTTTTGGAAATTGATAGCTTATAGCAAACTGGTGATCACAATGGGCCCCAAAGCTAAAGAAGGACCTTTTATTATTGGACATCGTAGGTACTGGCTAGATTGTACAGAGTGGCTTGTTTTTAGAATCCCAGGTCTGTTTGTCTCTAAAATAACCAGAGTGTAGGAACCCTGATATTGGACTTGGCCTCTGATATGCTCACCAGAAAGAGGATCTCCAAGAACTGGGGCAGGCAGCCATGAGAGCAAGGGCGAGGTGATGCTGGCGAGGATGCGGGCATGGCCAGAGACGAGAGGGAGGCCCAGGTACTTATGGACATTATGTACATTGTGGGGGTGAAGACCCTGAGCTCCTAGGGGGTAAGAAATAGGAGGAAGCTCCTGCAGGGGTTCCTAAATCGGCTGCTCCTGACAGCCAGCTGTGGCACTTGTTCAAGCCTCACTCAGTCGGTGTGGAGCGGCTGTGGCCAGATGCGAAGCCGAGTTCAAGAGCAACCAAGACATGGAGACAAACAGGAGGGAGAGTAAGTGGGGGCAGCCTGGCTCTGTGGGAACAACACCAGCTTAGGAGTCACCCAGCCTGAGTTCAAGTCTCACTCTAGGAAGTTTCCACTGGAAACTCCAATTCCCCGATCCTCTTTTTTACAAACAAAAGTATTTTGATTTCAGAGAGGAAGGGGAAGGAAGAGAGAAACATCAATGATGAGAGAGAATCATTGATCGGCTGCCTCCTGAACACCCCCTACTAGGGATCAAACCCACAACCCAGGCATGTACCCTGACGGGGAATTGAACCGTGACCTCCCTGATCATAGATCCATCCTCAACCGTTGGGCCACACCAGCCAACATCCTCTACCCTCTTTCCAAGTGTGCCTTCAAAGGCCTCAGAAGCTAGGAAGGTAAAAATCACAGTTCTCTGGCTCCAGTACAGGTAGGGTTCCAGGTGTGAGTGACGGTCAGCCAAAAGAGGCACTTCCACGATACCAGGAGCAGAGACCACATTCCTGCAGCTGCCGTCTCTCCAGGCGAGCGCAGGCATGGCGTGTTGGCTCCTTTTCGGCCGTATCCCAATTCTTTGGTGACTTTGGGTGTGTTCTTAGAAACACTGTCACTAGCAGCCATTTCTGCAGAACTCCCAGTAAGACCCGTAAGCCACTCATCATCCCTGGTAAGCCCTTCCCTGCATACACTGGCTTAAACTGTGCAATGGAAGTCTGACGGATACATGGGGACAGTGATAGCTATTCCGAGTGTTGGGAGGATGAATGCGGTAACATGTGAAACCTCATTAAGTGGCTGGCCCTCAGTACACTTCATTTCTTTCCCGAAAGGAACAAATCTTCAACTAGAAGACATTGTTAACGTTTCTAGCTTAGGTTAGTCATCTCAGCTGTCTTAGCGCTCACTTTCCCACCTGACCAGGAATCGAACCTGTAACCTCTTGGTTCATGGGTTGATGTTCAACCACTGAGCCACACCAGCTGGGCCACCCAATTATTTTTAATGGTCACTGTGTACCAGGCACTATTCTACACCCTTTAATGCATTGTCTCCTTTAGCCCTGTCAATGACGCGAGGAAGGGAGTTCACAGGCACAGAGCAAGGTAAGGTGACTTGCCCCAAGGTCACAGTGAGGTAAGTGTAGAGCTGGGATTTTCATCTGGGTCTGTCAGATTCCAAGGCTCTCTGTTCATACCCACTGAGATTGAAGAGAGAAAAGAACACTAAGAAAATTGCACCCATTGGCTGTGGCCCTCCCCTGTGCTCTCATCATGTGGTGCAGTTGACCTCAGGCATGAGGGAGAGAACATAGGCAGCACGTTCCCCCAGGTGCTCCCCAAACAGTGCTCAGAAGTGTCAGCTGGGAAGCTTTCCTTTTGATCTCTAGATTTATAATAAAAATCTCATCAAGCATCATAAAAAAAGCAGATTCCAGATGTTATGAGGTGTTTGGGATTGTACTGGGCTGTTCACAGATAAACTATAAAAATAGGGTAAAAAGAAAATAAAACAAATATTTTCCAACTCAACAGAAAATCCTCTGGTGGAGAAGTGGAATCTCACCCTGGAGGGACGGGCATTTTTCCTCACGGAGATGAGGTGGAGGTGGCTTGAATCATACACAAGGTTTGGATGGTCATTGTCCTTGGTTGCTAGTATCTCACATGAGCTGGATCAGAGATGGTGTGGAGGGGGTCATATTGGAAGGCTGCAGGGTTACATTGTGGTGAGAAGAGAGAGTACAGATGGGCATGATGAGAAAAGAACCATCCGATCCAGGGCCGGCCCTCATTCTATTGTTTGTCTCTGCCTCTCTCTCCTCCTTTCTTCTCTCCCCCCCCCCCCAAATTCTCTCATTTCATTCTCTCTGGTCTTCTCCTATATGTTTATCTGGAAACTTTCTCTGTAGCCATGGGACAAAGAGCCAACCTGAAAAGGTAGTATGGAGCCCAGTGTCCCACGCACAACCAGCGGAAGTGCTCTGTGGCCCAGGGCTGCCCTGTTTGCTGGGAGGCCAAGGGTGATTGGCTTCCCCTGGTGCAGGTTTTCACTCTTAGGACAATCAGAATTGGAGCTGGTAGCGAACCAACCTCATGTTTTCAGGAGAGGGCATTTCTAGAGAAGGGACCATGTGTTGGATAGATGCTCAAAAAGGTGTCTTCCACATCTGGACAAAATGATGTCTGTTTATTGGTCATTTACCTTGCACAAGGCTTTCTACTGCTGAAAATGAAAATCAAAACTGCCCCAACTATTTCATATTATTTTATTTATGCCCCAGTCTAAGGACTCTGGACAGGTAGGTGTCCAAGGAGGTAAATGACAAGGAAGATGAAGCTACAGCTCTCTGCACCAGTTACAAGGGTACCTCCCTTAGACAGGGTGAGTCGTGTTGCAGTGTGAGCTGCACATCTGCTCCTCGCTGTTCCAAATATCTTTTCTCAAGCATCCAGAAAAGCATTGGAGGCTTATCTCTTTAGAGATTAAACATTAAAACGAAAGGAAGAATAAACTCAGCAAAACTAGAGTGGTATTTTATGCAAAATCACCAAAAAAATTTTGAAACAGTGAAAAATTTAGTTTGGAAAATTGGTTTATCCCAGAATGTGTACTGGAAGCAAGCCATGGACCAATGAATCCTTTACAAGCCTTGTGACTTCTGCAGGTCTGCACTGACCAGTGCTGGTCGTGGTGACATCTCCACGTTCTCATGTTCTGTGCCACCTGTGGAGGATTTCATCAAAAATCCAATCCCTACAAAAGTGAATTGTCTTTTAAAAGAGTTTATTTCTCCTGACTTCATATCATTTGCCTTCATACAAGGAGACTCTAGAGTTGTCTTTCAGCAGGCTTTGCTCATCACTTGCTGGTGCTTTATTTATTCATAGTTTTAGGAGCTCTTCATACACTGCCAGCCAATTTTATAGGCCCAGAATCTTGATCAGACACTGATTTTTCCTGCAGTTGACTTTAAAGGCTTTACCATGTGGGATTTTTAGTAATTTGTGAACAGCAAATGGATGCCATGTTCTCAGGATTTTGCAGCCCAAACGCTAGGGTTGTTGTGCATGAAATATGTGTGGTAGTAAATTAATAACATAAACTTGTTCCACATTTATTTCTGAAGCTAATTATCAAAGTAGATTTTTAAGTAGCTGCTATCTTGTTTAATTTGATCTGTTGCCTAAATGCCTTGCTTGGTGGATAAAAGTCAGTACTACGACCTTGCAATGGTGAGCATATTCATCTGGATTTTCTGAGAACATTTGGCTTTTAATAGGGTATCACTCCTCATCTCTCCCCCTCCCTCACACACAGCAGGGTTACTGTGTTCGTAGACAGTGATAACCAACCAGGGTTCAGTTGGCCTAACCAGTGGTCATATTTGCTTGCAGGGAACAGAACCCACCTGAGCTCAGTGAAGCCAAGGGCTGACTATATTTTGGAAAGCATGAGGTACCTCCTGAAACCCAGTCGTTCAGAGTACAGCTGAGCTTGTGGAACTGGAGCACCTAACCTCCCTGACTCTCTCTCCAGGCCACCTGGTCTCTTGCCCCTGCTGCTTCTTGTATCTGTCTCATTCTTCTCGCTCGCTCTCTTCAGTCAGCATTCTCTGCTGTGGTGTGTTTGTGTGCCAAACATGGCTTCCTGCTTGGTATCACATCCCTAGCCAAGCACCCAACATGGAATGACAAGTGTCTGCAGGGCCCAGGTTCAGATTCCTGGGGGAAAGTTCAGTTAAACCAGCTCAGACCAGTTATCCGTTCTGGGTCCACGCGTCTGATCCACATTCACACGACCAGTGGTGTGCTCAGCCAGGGTTATGACAGCTCAGGGATGGAACTGGGAGGTGTGTGTGTGTGTGTGTGTGTGTGTATGTTACACAAGTAGATTTTCTCAAGTGGGTGGTGAGGAAGCATCAGTATCTTTAATTTCCCAGATGTGGAAAGAGCTGATTTGTGTACCAGTTGCAGCCTGGAAGTCACACCTGTTTGCTGGCCCAGTCCTGCTCATCTTTCCCTCTTTTCCATTTGGTCCCTTCATCATTGTTTCACCTTCTCCCTTTGTCCTTCTCACTTCATTTTCCCTCCTCTGTCTCCCAGTTGATGCTTCAGAAAAGTAACATGGTACATCTGGTGGTGGAACACTGTCGTAGGGAAGCCAAGACTTGCCCAGTGCCGATAACCCTTGGGCAAGTCACTTAGCCAGCCGTGGCCCTGGCTTTATCTTCTGAAAATGACTGGAGCTAGGCTAGATGCTGGCAGAAACCTTAGAGCTCATCTTGTCCAGGATGCTAGATATCTGTCCACTCCTGTTTCCATTCTACAATACAGCCTCCATAGCAGATGTAACTAATTGATCCCAGCACACTTACCTACTGATTTGGGATTGTGCTTAGAATCCTCACAACAGGCCAGACAGCCAGTCTGTTGGAGGTGACCCACCTTTGTAATGTAACCAATTGGCTATCTCTAAGCAAGAAGTCTAGGCCCAATCCTGGAGCTTCAGGACCAGGCACAAACATGTCTAAATGGGGAACCCCAGGAAGAGGAGCATCCGGGACGACTGGAACCACCTCTCGGTGAAAAGGAGTTCAGGTTCTGCTGGACATCCTGTAAAAATGACCAGGGCCTCAACTGTAGGAGGAGGAGGGCATCAGTCCTTCCACCCTGAAACGGGCCTCTTTTCCAGGACTGCAGATCCAGAGTGACAGAACGGAGGAGGGTCCAGGAGCACTCACCAGGTTCTGGAGCAAGATGAAGTAGCCATCTCAAGGAAACCCAAAAAAGTGTTTTTCCATCTCTGTCCTGTGGGTGGCACTTTACTGCCTCAAAGATCATGGCCAGGCTCCACAGGGCCTCTAGAGGCACATAAGTGCCAGGAGGCAGATGCCCAATGCAGAGTCTGAATGAAAACAAAAAACTCTCATGACAAAGTTGGTCTCCTCCCTGCCATTACCACCAACTGTGCGGCCTGGGCAATCCCAGAACTGAAACCAAAACAAGGCAGGGAGAAGAGCGCAAGAATAACTTCTCCATCTGGATTTTTGTTCTGCTGAGGTCAGGTTGGTGTGTGTAAAAGGAGGGGTTGCCACAGGTCTTGAACATGTGAGTCCAGGATTATGAGTGCTGTCAGAACTGGGATAGGCAATCAGGTATAGCTTTAAACTCTGCCTGTGAATGATTGATTTAAAGGTGAAGTTGAGCAGACCTGTGTGGCTCAGTGGTTAAGCATCAACCCATGAACCAGGAAGTCATTGGTTCGATTCTCGGTCAGGGCACATGCCCAGGTTGCAGGCTTAATGCCCAGTAGGGGGCATGCAGGAGGTAGCCAATAGATGATTCTGTCTCATCATTGATGTTTCTAGCTCTCTCTTCCTTCCTTTCTGAAATCAATAAAAATATATTTAAAAAATAAAAATAAAGGTGAAGTTGATAATACCATGGAGTCTGTGTATGTGATTTTTTCCCTTGGAGCATCTAAACCATAAAAGACTATGGCAGGGAAAGAAGATAAAATAGAAAATCTAAGCAAAAAGTCAGAAAATTGTCATAATTTCATTCTTTCCATCATCCTAGCATTTTAAAAAATGTATGGGCGTGCATATCTGCCCATCATTTTTGAATAGTTCTATTAGGAAGAAACTGTCACTTAATCTCTGAACCTCCTGCTGGTCTTCCTTCATCTGTGTCTCCTCCCTTCCTTTCCACTGTATCTTTTGAAAAAAGCCTCTTGGATTTTTAAGCAGAAGGTGACTCTGCATTGGTACCATAAAACTGTATTTGAAAATTCAAAAATAAAAGTTGAGGTCCCCATGTCTACCAGCTTTCCTCCTACCTTTCTTAGTGGGATGGGATATTTCAAGCCATTATTTCTAAGTCCCTGAAATTTTGAAGGGAATATAAATGCTCTCCTCCGCCTTTGCTTTCTAGTTAATCATCCTTTTACATCATGACCTCCATCCAATCCAGCCGTTCATTTCTCCGGTGGCCGAAGAATTAGCAGTTATTTCAGCAAAGATGTGGAATCAGCCACGTTCATCTAAGAGCCTCAGGATTAGACTGGCTCACTTTGCACTGGATGGTGGCAGGCAACAGTGAGAGTTATTTTACTTCTTCAAAATCTGTTTTCTGCAGTTATATTTGGACTGGAAAGAAGATCCTTGCATTCTTAGCTCCAATTATATTCAATGTTCTCATTGCTGTTACTCTCAAATATGATATTGAGCGAGGTCACATCTTTAATTCACATTTCTCATCTATATTTACAAATGATACAGCTTTTGGAACATCTGCTCTGCCTACAGAACACTCATTTCTGCAGACGACCCAGCTGTAATGGCTGGTGGCAGAATTGTTTCCTCGACGACCCGACGATGCTAGGAAACATCTCTCCCTTCCTGCCTCTCCTGCATGCTGCTGCTTTTTAAGGCATCTCTTGGAGTTCATTTCCCCAGGAGAGACGGGCTTGAGCTTCTAAGGCGGCATTTGTCTATTATTTCTGCGGAAAGGCTGCCTCCTGGAAGAGTTACTGCTGCAATCTCCACGTGACAGGGCCACCTTCTGTGACAGCTGTGTAGGTAGGGGAGCTGAAGGTCTAGAAAGAAAGGAGAGGAATGCAAATAGAAGGATGAAGGGAACTTGCAAAGACTGGGCAAGGGATAAAACCCTTATCTCCAATGCTTAGGAGCCCAAAGTTGGCTTCCCAGTAACAAGAATCCTTGGTGTTGGTAGAGAATGGGGCCCTTCCATTTTATTCTTCCTCAGAAAGGGGTAGCGCTCTCGGCGAATGAGGAAGAGTGCGGGGCGCCGTTCATACAGACTAATTTTGTTGTTATGTACTTCCCATTTCACAATATTATAAATTAATGAAAATGAGAACTTAAATACTTCCATTTCTGTCATTTGCAGGAAATGCAGAGAGCATACCCACCTGAGTGTGCATCTGCCCAACACCCCAGGTTAAGGGGCCCAGGTTCTTTAGCAGATGCCTTGTAAGGGAACAAAGGGAATGGAGGGAGGTATCTGGAGATTAAAAGATATAGCAAATTTTTTTTTTCTTTGCTGGGGAAGATTAAACTATGGTCTAGGGGTGATAACACGATTGAAAATCCCTTTCTTGTTTTAAATCATAGTGTAATTGAGGCGCTCTTATGAGTTGACTTGATTTTATCCTCTCATGTTACTGAGCGGGGACACGGGGACCCAGTCAGGCAAAGTGATTTGCTTAACATCCAAAAGGGAGCAGGTGGGAGAACCCCGATCAGACTCCAGACCCCAGGCCCATGGGTGAGGTTTCTACTACTCCCCTCAATATGAACTTTATCATCCATTAATTTTATCTGTGTGTTCACTGACCTAGATGAAATCACAGCAGAATCGACTACATATTGGAGACAACTCTGTGTTAATCTGTTCTGTTCGTTGCTTTTCAGGCAGCATTGGCTCCGCTTTTGTCCTGTATATAGTGGCAGTGAGCCTGGGAACTGTGACATTCTCAGTTTTTGGATTCGTAGAATAAAGTTATTCTTTTGCTTTCTACTTGATTATTACAAAGCCAGTTCCATTGTTCAGCAATATTCAAATTAAGGCTAGAAAATAATTTTTAACTTTCTTATTGAATTTCATTTCCCCCCATTCTTCTGACACTGATTAAAATCACTTATTGCTACGTGCATAGCGCTTTTTCTTAGGGAATTCACTCTTAGGTAGACTGGATGCTTTGAATATGGGAACTGTCTGGTGTAGGTTGTGCTAGTTGAATGACTGTAGAAAGGAGGCTTAGACTGTGGACTCTTGTCTTTCAAGTAGGTGGCAGTTAGGTAGACACACGTGGCCTCTCCTTCCTGACGCCCACCAAACCGTGTCCCAGGCTTCTCCTGGAATCTGTGTTGGATAGGCCAAGTGGCAAGAGAGCCAGCATCCTGGCTCCCTCCTGTGGGCACCCCTCGTTCCAGCCAGGCATCTTGAAACACTGTTGCTAGGCATAGAGAGGCCTGGAGGAGACTGGAATGATGAAGGAAAATCCATCGCCAATACTGAAAAATCATGTCTAGTGATTTTGTTTATTACTAGGGAAGCACTGGGAGATAGAAATGGAACTTTTGTTAATTGAATACATTGAAACTGAATATAGATAGATCTTATTAATGTATACCAAGTGAAAGAAATTGTAGTCTCAGAAAGGTCTAAATTATAGAATTTTTAAAAATAAATGCTAGGTTGCTATGGCCACATATGTAAACATTAAGGCAAATAAAGTATAAATGAAATTTTTAAAAAATAGATTTTTATTGATTTCAGAGAGGAAGAGAAGGATAGAAACATCAACGATGAGAGAAAATCATTGATTGGCTGCCTTCTGCACGGCCCCCACTGGGGCTTGAGCCTGCGACCCGGGCATGTGCCCTGACCGGGAATCAAACTGAGACATCTTGGTTCATAGGTCGACATTCAACCACTGAGCACACCAGCTGGGCTAAATGACATTATTTACTATGAACATATTTGCCATCTTTTTTAATTTAGGTGCTTCTCAAAGGTTTGAAAAATAAACATTTTTAAAATTTTAGAGTCAATTTGTTTAATCATTATTCAGTCCTGCTAGAAGTTGGTTGATCATTTCTTTTTATAAGGATATGTATTAACAAATCCTGAACTAGTGATATTCATAGACTTCTGCCTAAATCAGTCATCAATGAATATTCATTAAGAGTTAATAATAATATTTGTTATTAATATTGGCAACATATTCTGCTTTTTTTGGCTCCCACATGGACACTTGCGCAGGTTTTTAATGTCTGATTGTAAGAACATCAGTATCCATGAAGTATCACACAGCCTTTCCCAGTAGAGCATTTTTCTTGTATGTTTCCCATTAGGAAAACCATCAAGCTATTGATATTATCATTTTACCTAAATTAATTTAATGCCTAAGATGGCATTAGAGCCAACCAGTATAATGATGATGGTCCTTTACATTTACAACAGCACTTTCCAGTTTTTCTGGTTCTCACCCCGATACTATCTCAAGTGATGCGTATCCAGGGAAGAGGTCATGCGTACATCTGATAAAATACACTGTGAAACAAGAAAACAGGAGCAGAATTTGCCAACTGCATAATGACAAAGAACATGTTTTCTTCTTCCATAAGGAATCCAGCCCACCCATCAGTTCTTCTCTGGGTTTTCTCTGTGTCTGAAATTGCCCAAGGGCAACGACTTGAAACTCGGAAATGACCAACGCTAGAATTTCCTCAAGGTGTTCTTTAGAGCAGCGGCTCCTGGAGACATTAACTGGTATCATGCAGAAAAGGAAAAGAAGAAAGAGTTCCACAGTCAGCCAGTTTGGGGATTTTCTAGGTTAAACAGGACTTTTGTTTACTACCAGGCTTTCGTACTGTCTGCATTGTCACTCCTCCGGTAAGAGATTTCCTGAATGGTTTCGAATACAGAACTTTTCCTCCTCAAATCATTGCTTAGGGCCAGTATTTATTGGAACAGGCCTTCTGACATGGTTATCTTTGCTTGTTCTCAGTTTTAGAGTATGTCAAGCTGTCTGGATGTCCTTAATACAGGTTTGGGTTTTTTTCAACCTC